GCTTGGCCACAGCGCGTCCGGTCGAGGAGGCCAGGTCGGTCTTGTTGCCCGCCACCACCACGACCAAGCCTTCCTGTCCGTACCTGGTGTTGCGTGTTTGTGTTGCACCAATCCCGCCTGCTATTGTCATTGGCGATGAGAGCGTACTTTTGCATTTCCTCCACCCAAGCCGTGACGTTGTCAAAGGTCGCCCTGTTGGCGATGTCGTAGACCACCACCACGCCGTGCATGCCACGGAGGTACGCCAGCGACCTGTACCGCTCCGGTCCGCTCGAGTCCCACAATTGCAACTGACCACACAATCGTTCGTGCGTGTGCGGTGGTGTGAGCGGTTGTGTGTGAGCGCGCGTCATTCAAATGTGGTGCGTAGACGCACACCTGGATCCTATTGTCCTGCCACTCCACACAGCGGCGCTCGTATTCCGCGCCGATGGTTGGGGAAGGATAGACTTCAAACTGGTCATGCGCGTAGCGGCGTAGGATGGCCGATTTTCCTGCACCACTTCGCGTGTGCGGTGTGGTGTTGCGTGTGAGTGTGAGTGTGAGTGTGCGTGTGCGACAGTGCGGAGTGCGGTGATGCGTGTGTGTGTCATGGCTAGCCGGGAGATGGGGTAGAAATGAGGAAAATGCCGTACGAGTCGCCTTGCATGACCACTTTGACCTGGTATTCGCCAGGTGCTGATGGATTGGGTGGGAGAGTATGGGTATCGCGTTTCCTGTAGTCGTGGATAAGCCAGCGCTCACTCGTGCGTGTCGTTTGTGTCATGTCGTGTCGTCGTGTGTCCTAGAACGTGCCTGAACTGCGAGACGGCAGCGCGCAGCCACGTCATGTAGGCCGCCTTCCATCCGTCCCCTTCGCTGCTCGGTGTTGTGTGGTATCCTTTCCTGAGCACTGGGCGATGGGATGTCGTCGGGCACCATGGCAAGGGAGCAGAGATCGTGCGCGTTGGCCACGAACGACAGCACGTGCACCACCACCTCCTGTTGTTGTTACAAGCATGTATGTATCGCGATGGGGCGATGGTGTGGTGGGCGGTGGTGGGGTTGACAACAACACCGACGCGTACCGGAGGCAGACTGTGGAGGCCCAGTCGTTGTTGAGCGCCGTCTTCGTTGGGGTGCGCCAGGCTCCGGAGCAGTTCAGCGATGTGGTGCTGCGTC